TTGTGTTGTGCTGTGCTGTGCTGCCTTGTGTTGTGCTTTCTTGTGTTGTGTTATGCTGTCTTGTTTTGTGTTATGCTATCTTGTTTTGTGTTGTGTTGTGCAGGCTTGTGTTGTGCTGTGCTGTGCTGCCTTGTGTTGTGTTGTGTTGTCCTTTCTTGTGTTGTGTTATGCTGTCTTGTGTTGTGTTATGCTATCTTGTGTTGTGTTATGCTGGCTTGTGTTGTCTTGTGCTGTCTTGTTTTGTATTGTGCTGTCTTGTGTTGTGTTGGTAGTTTTCAGGGTTAAGGATTGTGACTATATAACAGATATATTCAATAGTTGTCTACCCTTCAGACCTATACAACCAGAGAGTTCTTTGTGAAGTGGAGAGGAAAATCATACTGGCATTGTTCTTGGATAACTGAGCTACAGCTAGAAATCCAACATCCAGAAATGTATAGAGCATACTCACGCAAGAATGACATGGATGAACCACCAATGTTAAGTGATGATGAAAGTGACACATCTGAAGAAGGTGAYCAGCCAAGTCCTACCAAGAAATCTAAGGCAAAAGAAGAAGATAAACTGAACTTGGAAGCAAGGTTTTATAGATTTGGTGTTAGTCCTGAGTGGATGCAGATATTCAGAATCTTGAATCACAGGTATTGCAGTTATTATTTGTTGGCTTAGATACAGTAAAGTACAAACATGACATTGCACAATTATCAAACTCAATGCAAATTAAGTGGTAAGGAGCAGAAGCAAAAGGTTTGCAAAAGTCATTTGTATTCCTTATTGGTTCCAGTGAGATTCTGTTTGGCCCAGGTCTATTGCCAGCAATTCAGCTTGTTTTGTTTTATGACCTTATTTTTGTTGAAGACCAGTTTTAACGCAAAAGTATCATTTAAGTTGGTGTAAGTTTGTCAAATGTATGCAGTTGTTGTAAATGTTTGTTTGTTTCAGAGTACAAGATGGAAAAGAGGAGTTTATGGTCAAGTGGAGGGATGTACCCTATAGTTTAAGTACCTGGGAGAGACCAGATGACCCAGTCAATAATCAAATAAGGTAAAAATATTTTTTATATCAATACCAGTTCTTAGTTTTATTATCAGTTTTTAATTATACCAACCAACTTGTAAGAGATGACTTCTTTTAAGAGGTTGATTTTTTTAATTGAGAATGAAAATGTTTGTAAATAAATGCAAAGGTCTCATAAGTGTCTTAAAGTGCATTATTATAAAAATATGATAATTCAAAAATCAAAATAGCAGTGTGTATTTGAGGCGATTAA